CTCCGATTCTGTGTCTCCCTCTCTCTCTGCCCCTCCCCCGTTCATGCTCTGTCTCTCTCTGTCCCCAAAAAAAAAAAAAAAAAAGTTGAAAAAAAATTTTAAAAAATGTATGTGCGTAGTTATGTGCGTTTATGTGTATATTTATATACACACACAGGGGCACCTGGGTGGTTCAGTCAGTTAAGTGTCCAACTTCAGCTCAGGTCATGATGTCACAGTTTATGGGTTCGAGCCCCGCATCGGGCTCTGTGCTGACAGCTCAGAGCCTGGAGCCTGCTTCGGATTCTGTCTCCCTCTCTCTCTCTGCTCCTCCCCCACTAGTGCTCTGTCTCTCTGTCTCTCAAAAATAAACATTAAAAAAAAAAGAACTATATACACACATGTATATGTGTGTATATACTCACAAACATACATACATTTCCTCACCAAATAATAGAAAGAATGTATATCAAAATGTTAACAAAACATTTCAGGGTGAAGTCATTGTATTTTAAACATTATTTGGTATGCTTTTCTTCATTTCTTTTTTTTTTTTAATGAAAATATATTACTTTTACACTCAGAACAAATGTAATTTGAAGTCACGTTTCAAGAGATAGGAGGTAACGGGGCCAGAGTGTGGTAGGACAGCTCACGTACCCTGCCAAGGTCGTGTAAATGAGCACACACTTCCCAGGGGGCAATTGGGCAAAACATATCAAAGCCTTTTAAGTGTTCACACATTTGATTACTCATTCTTCTTCTAAGAATCTATCTAGAGGAAATAAAGAGATGCCAAGATAGTTCAGGATGTTCACCACAGAGTTATCTGTAATATGAAATTTTGAATACCTTGATACACTCACTGACAAGAAGGAACAGGTTGCATAAAAGATAATTCATCCATCTGATATATTTTATGCAGTGGTCAGGAAGTGTCTTAATAGCATAAGAAAATGTGCTAAATTGAATTTTAAAAGCGACATTTTAGTCTATGTGCTGCTGAAGCAAGCACTAAAAGCCAGAGTAAAACCTACATATAGTCTGATCATATATTCGTTTAAAAAATTATCAAGTCTGTACATGCACACACATACGCACAACATCACACAGAAAGAAGACTGGAAGAGTATGTGTGTGCATGTGTGTGTGTGTGGAATTAACAGTGGCTTCTTGAGCGGTGGGATTTTTATTGCCTTCTGTGCACCCTTCTGTATTTCCCAAATATTCTGCGATAAGTATGCATCCCTTCTATGATCAGATGAACAATTCATTTTTAAAGAGAAAAGAAAACTCTCTTTACAAAATGGGAGGAGGGAATGTGGGGGAAGCAGGTGGAGTCATGGGGACCAGCTAGGAGCTACTACACTGTAAGTGGGAATGAGGAGCAGGGAAGATTCTAGGACTGGGGAGGCAGAAATGTCAGGATTTGCTGACTGACCGGATGCGGGGAGGGAGTCAGGTATGATTCTCAGGTGCATGGATTAAGATTAGGATTAGGATAAGGACGAGGATAAGGAATACGGGCTATGGTAGCCTGCTTCCTGATGGGCTCCAGGGCCCCTTGCCTCCTGACACCCCCTGTGCCATCCCCTTCCACCCTGAATCGAGCAGACCTGTGTCACCACAGGATAGAGCGGCAATGACAGGGAGAGCTTTCTGAAGCTAGGCCATAAAAGAGATGGAAAGAGACAGAAAGTAGGAAGCAGAATAGAAGTTCCCAGGGGTTCTGTGGAGGTGAGGGAAGGGGAGAGCGTGGGAAGATGACAAATTTCTGAGCATGGATGGTAGTGACAGCTAGACAGCAGGGCGAATGCACTCAATGCCACTGAACTGTGTGGTTAAAAACGGTTAAAATGGTAAATTTTATGCCGTGGGTATTTTACCATAATAATTTTTTTTTTTTTTTAATATAAAAGGGTAGGATTCTGCCTTTGTCTCTCTTGGCCCACGAGCCTAGGGGAGGCCAGCCACCACGTTGTTGTGAACACACCGGAGCAGCCCGGTGGGGAGGCCCAGGTGTGGAGGGACCCAGGGTTCCCGCGACAGCGGCACTAGCTCGCCAGGTGCATGCGTGAGCCCCGGAGAAAGCAGATCCTCCAGCCCCGGGCAAGCCCCCAGCTGGAGACAGAAACCATGTAAAATAATACTGACTGTTTAACCCACTACACTTTGGAGGAATTTCCTACCCAGAAATAGAAAGAGGCACAGATCTGAGCTGTCTCATACTCTCTCGTGGTTTAAACCACCATCTCGTTTCTCTGGCTTCGGATTAGGATGTGGAAGGCTGGGAAGAGCCGTGTTCACACCATTACAGCAAACACTGGATAATACGCAGAATCTGAGTCTGGAACACATCACAGAGCAGGGATTGCCGCGGGCTCCCCATCAGGGCCCACCAGGGGGTGCCAGAGAGACCGGAAGGTGGGAGGTTCCTGGGAGCGTCCGCTGAGAAGAGGCCCACCTGGTACTCACTTCCTGCAGTTACCATCGCTGTGTTCCCACAGGGCTCCCTTTTTGCCTTTCTCCCTCCAATAATACCTGTCTAACCAATTCCCTAAATTAAATTCTCTTTGCTCAAAGCCCCACGTGGTTTCCATTTTCCTAACTGGCCCTCAGAGCATACCGCGCGTGGGTTCAAGTCAACTCCTCAACTACTGTGCCAGCTTCTCTCCCAGGGGGCACAGATGTAAGTGAGGTAGAGTTCCCACCTGTCCAGACAAGCCTTCATCACCTCACCCCCACTGCCCTTCCCGACGCCCGCCTGCCAACCCCCACCTACCCCTGGCTTAGCTCACAGAACTATGTGTGCTCCCCCAGCACGGCACTTTTCTGGGTCTTTCCACGCATTCTGAGCGCATCTCGCCCCAAATTGGACAATAAGAAATGAGACACCTCAGCACTGGACGAAGCAAGAGTAGAGGAGGAAGGAATTGGGGTTTTTTATTTTTTTGTTGTTTGTTACTTTCACACCTTGGGAGAAACAATAAAAGGATGATTTTGTCTCAGGCTGCCTTTCACTGTCTGATTTTTCTTATCTTACTGATATTTTCATGCTGGTGGAAAGTCAGTGGACAAAAAAAGAGAGACCCAGGAGTTCAGTTTCAGTGCTGAGCTCAGGTGGCCGCCATGCTGGTTGCTTCTATTCACTTCTACTCACTGGGAGAGTGCCAGAAAGACGATGAGAAGATAATGAGCATGCACGCGCACACACGCACGTGCACACGCATGCACACACCTGTGTTCCGGCCTGCAAATCAATTTCCCTGATTCAAATAATGATACTAACACTTTCAACAGTGCATAAAATAGTTGCCAGGAGAGGTCTTCCCAGACTTGTTATTGAGAAATTACAGGAATTTCACTCCCTACAGTCTTACCGTTTGTGAAGTAGAAACGGAGTGAAAAAAAAAATGAGAATCTACCACCTGAAGAAGACCCCAGCCCCCCAACAAGAAAATTATTTTTTTAAGTACAGTCTACTCCCCAACATGGGGCTTGAACTCACGACCCCAAGATCAAGAGCCACAGGTTTACCGACTGAGCCAGCCAGGTGCCCCCCCCCAAAAAAGTATTTTAAAGTCACAAAACAATGCCTAAAACTTAGACCTCACGCTGCCAAGCCCGCCTAGATTATGCGCTAAATGGGGACGACGGCCCCGAGGGGCCAGAGAAAGGAGTTAGTGGAAAAGCAAATCCTAGTGTGCTCCAGAAGGCCTCGGTACACAAACAGGTATGTACCTGAGATATGAAACTTTCACGGACGGGTAGTATTTAGGAAACAGTGTTAACAAGGCTGCTTGGGAGAGAAAGGGGGGGGTGGGCGGTGAGGAAAAGGGTTGAGAAACGGTGTCCCAGGTGAGGTCACACGCACTCGCTCACCCTTTTGCTTCAGCCTGCCCGTTAGCACTGTGCTTCCTTCCAGATTTCTGATCAACTTGGCAGAAACATCGTTTTTTCTCGAGTAAGGGAAGTCAGGAATATGATCCAGCAGAGAATTTAATGCCGACTGAATGTCAACTTCAGCCGACCGTGCCTTCTACAAAAGCGGAGTGTCAACACTCAAACAAATGGCTTCCTTTCCTCACAACGCATCTGGGGTTGTGGCTACATAGCTTCTTTCCGGCAGAAAAAAGGTTTCAAGCCGCCCCATTCCCACTAGGTCAGCCTGGGCTCCTTGTGTGCAGCCCCCGCTGTCACACACGTCAGAGGATGTGTGTTACCACCATGGACGAATGTGATTCACAGAGCATGTGAGCTCTGCTTTATTTTGATGACACGTGCGTGCGCCTTTGTCTGAAAAGTTGTTTTCCTGTCCATGCGGCTCACATCCTCTGATGTGGGCACCTCTGTTACCGAGGCAGAATTAGCTCTCCCCCTGGTTTCCAGCCCCAGCTACCAATTACACCACTACATCAGCTTTGCAGAGACTCTGTAAGATATTCTTGTGGTACCCAGACCATATGCGCATTCACGCTCCTACAATCACGACATGTGCTCGCTTCCTAATCATCAACATCTGCTAAATTCTAATCCTGTTCACTCTCCGTGGCCTTCAGTTATTCAGTCATTTTGACCAAGTCTCAGGAACAAGGTATTGTGCTTAGTGCTGTAAGGGACTAGATTTTCAAAGCATAGTTTCTGCTTATGGAGAGAAAGAGAAGTATGCAAATAGTAATGCCACATAAGGCACTGGCCACAAATTTTGGGAAAGATGGACAAGCCAGAGCTGCCCGTGTTTCGGAGGAGGGAGACCTCACTCCCACACGCAGGGAAAAGCAGGCGGATTTCAGCAGTTAGAACTGAGCTAGAGAGGGGTGGTCTGCGGTCAAAGGCGCTGAGCAGGGTGGGCCAGGGGGCAGGTGGGGGAAAGCATAACCGAACAGAACTAGAGGTCAGAAAGGAAAGGCCTGTCTAGCAGGACCTGTAAAGTTTTGTGTATGCAAATCTTAACACCAAATATTTGAAAACTGGGAATGATAGTATCATTTTATTTTAGTAAAAAACTTAAGGGCATTTACCTTCAGTTGGAAATTTCTTGGCTCGTTCCTCAAAGAACCATTCTCCAGTTTTTATTTTCACATTTCTGAAAAACAAGCAGACAGGAAGCCTCAGATAGCGATGTGGTCGGTGCTGTATTTGGCTCATAAGGGGGAGGTAGATAGTATCACAAAAGATTAGTCTCGCAAGGTTCCTCAGAGTTCATGTTTCTGATCTCCCCCCGCTAACTTTACAGATCCCCTAGAGAGGTTAAGCAACCTGACTAGTTAAGTGATCTGACTAGTTAAGCAATCTGACTAGTTAAGCAATCTGACTAGTTAAGTGATCTGACTAGTTAGCAGCAAGGCTGGAAGACTGTGCTTGGGTATATTTTACCCTACATGTAATACGTACTTGTAATGTTTGCATACTAACATATGTGTATGACCAACACATATTAAGTACTTAATGTTTTCTGAAGAAACATACAATGAGAAACAAAATTGCCATCAAAATGGTCAATTTATGGGGTGCCTGGGTGGCTCAGTCAGTCGAGTATCTGACTCTTGATTTTGGCTCAGGTCATAATCTCACGGTTCATGGATTCAAGCCCTGTGTTTGTGGAGCCTGCTTGGGATTCTCTCTCATTCCCTATCTCTCTGCTCCTCCTCCGCTTTCTCTCTCATGCATATGCACACGCTCTCTCAAAAGTAAATAAATAAACTTTAAAAAATGATCAATTTATTATGTTTACAGCAGCAAACAGTGGCGTGAAGGATAGTCAACACAAAACCCAACGCTGCCTATTTGGCTAAGAGGGAACTCATCCCTAGGTTAGGTTAAGGTTAGTTTGTGTTAACCACGACGTTTACTAAGAGCTAACAGAGTAGCTGAGAAGTTTCCTGGAAGGCCCTGAAGTCTGGAATATGGGATCAGTGTACTTCATGGAGATCCGGGACCTGGGTCCGAGTGGACCACCTGAGAAACAGGGGAAATGACCTGTTCTTGCCCAGCTGCTTGGCCAACACCCGCTAGGGTACGTCTACACCCCTACACCTCCAGTCTCGGTCACATGTGGAACAGGATGCAGGGCCCTTTATATGCTCACTGACTGAAACCAAAGTCCCCAAATGCATTGTGCTCTTCAACAGTTCCCAAATTTCTGGAGAAGCCACTGTCAACCTCAAAAAACCTTGGAAATGTAGAATTGTTAACACCCTTTTAGGATACAAAAAAGTAAACACACAGATATTACAAGTTATCCACACCCTTAAAATGATGTGCCACAAAACTTGCCAATTCCTGGGTTATGAAAGTTTAAGAAAAATTAACACTGTACCCTACAAATTCTCGTCTATGTTTACCGAAATAAGTGTTCTCCACTGGGTTCTTTTAGGCTATATATGAACTCAAATGCGTTTTTCTGAATGAATGCTTACAATTGCTGTAAATGTAAGCAAATTCACAAATATATGTCCATCTACATGTTTTTAAAAGAAATACCCTCTTTCTCTACGGAGTTCTAGTGATTGTTAGAAGATACTAACCATCTTTCCCCCTTCATCTAGTTAGAAACTATTATGTTCTCTGATTAGTAAGTAAACCATGATTCCCAATGCTTAGCGACTAGAACAAGAGAAAAATACACGGGGCATTTATAAATTGTGATAGAAGAATTTTGCTAATCAGTCACCACCGTTCAGAGCCAAAATATATAAAATATTCAACTGTGATATGTGTCTAGAGAGACAGAGAAAAGTTTGCACCATAAAATTGAATATCTAGTCTTTGAGAACTCAGCACCTCGAAAGGGCCCCCTCTGGCACAAGAAAGCAAGCAAGGGATCAACCACCAGGGGAAGTTTGGAGAGATAAACGGGCCAGTGGTGAATTCATGCCCCTCGAAGGGCCACACCCACCAATTTCTCCATGCCCGTGGGGGCCTCCTCCGTCTTTGTCAGCAGGGCAAGGTCTAAGTATCAGATGAGGAGAGTCAAAGAGCAAAATCAAATGTGGAACCAGGAGGCTTCCATCGAATAGATGAACTCCACTTCCTGGATTTCTTTTCCTGGTGGTGGTGACCCTTTCAGCTAATCAGCGCTGTCACGCTTTGCAGCCATTATCCTTGTGTCCAAAAGCATCCATATGCAAGCCGGGGCCGGCAATGGGGCAAGGGCTCAGACTGGAAGGAGGTCGGAGCTGAGAATTCATCAGCGAGTCAAACCACCACCCCCTATAGCCAGCAGAGGCTAGGCAGACACAGGTGCCTGGCTGAGAAGTAAGCGCCCAGGTGCGGGGCCAGGAAAGGAGAGCTCAGGGAGGGAGGGGGGAAGCTGAAGGCACCCGAGTAAGTCAGTGTTTTATTACCAAGTCCTCCTCTAGCCTAGTGCTCTAGGTTTCAGAGAGAATTAAAATATACGTCGCCTGGTGCCAGTCATCTAATTGAACATCCCAACTGAGCACTTGGGAAGTTCAACAGGAGCTTATTTGGCAGGACAGATTTGGGCACATACTTGCGCAAATTTAGTCTCTCGGGCTTGTCTGTGTTTAAATAATAGAAGGAGAAAAGTGCCACAGTCCTAAACCACATGCCAAACAGCACTTTTTTACTCTTGAGGCTGTTTGCTTCGAGAACAGATTTGAGCGGGATCTCCCTAAAAACTTCTTGCAGAACCAGCCGTTCCTAAGCAATGATTCCCTAAGACCCTTAATAAAGGCTCCCTGTGCACACCAATCCCAGCTGCAAAGGAGGGACCATTTGTTGCTCTTATCGTCTCAGACAGAGGTGAGCAGACCTTGCAGTGATGACACCATCACATCTGTCCTCAGTAGGGCCAGCACAGGGTAGACTGACTCACAGTAACCAGAAGAAGCGTTTATTATTTCTTCCCAGATGATTGATCAGAATCTGCCTATGAAAGCTTCTTGGAATGAAATATGGCCCTTTGTAGCAACGTGGATGGAACTGGAGAGTGTGATGCTAAGTGAAATAAGCCATATAGAGAAAGACAGATACCATATGTTTTCACTCTTATGTGGATCCTGAGAAACTTAACAGAAACCCATGGGGGAGGGGAAGGAAAAAAAAAAAAGAGGCTAGAGTGGGAGAGAGCTGAAGCACAAGAGACTCTTAAAAACTGAGAACAAACAGGGTTGATGGGGGGTGGGAGGGCGGGGAAGGTGGGCGATGGGTATTGAGGAGGGCACCTTTTGGGATGAGCACTGGGTGTTGTATGGAAACCAATTTGACAATAAATTTCATATGTTGAAAAAAATAAAAAAATTTTTAAAAAATTTTTAAAAAAAGCTTCTTGGAACATTTTCTGAGCTCAGCAATGGGCTAATGCTTTTACATTCCTCAGAACGGAGACTTGCGTCTTTCAAACTTCTTCAATCAATTGCCAAATACATCTCACAAAGCAGAAGCCGAGGGTTGTGGGGACAGCAGAAGATGCAGAACTAGGAGACCTGAATTCCGTGCCTGACCTTGTCAGTAACACTGCATGAGGATCACTATCATTATAAATGCCAAGCTCGTGGTGCATAGCCAGCTCTTACTACACTTCTGGAGGTTCCAGCGTCCGTTTTCATAGCCTTGACCCCTGCTCATGCTGTCATTTCATCAGTAAACAGGAAATAACAGTTGGAAAGCCCTTTGCAAATTCCAGCATACACACTTGTTCAATGATACAATGAACGGATGACCCTAACAGAAAGACAGTCTGACCTGTTACTCTCAGCGAGCAGTGAGCCCAACAGGCCTGTTGGAAGGCAGTGTTATTTTGCATTTAATTACTTGCATCTGCAGATGGCTAGCTGTCCCATCCACGCTGGATGCTCTTCAGAAAGTCAGCACGATGTCCCTGGAGTTGCTTAATGTATCTTCCACCATGCAAAGGACAAGAAGTGGAAAGTCGATCTGCAGAGTCAGGATTCCTAGAAGGCCTAGAGAAGCACGTTTCTCTGGGCAGATCTGTTCTCCACCCAATGTCCTGATGGCCAGGGTGCCTCAAGAGTGCCCTGGTGGCTCATCAGACAAACAGGCTGCAAAAAGCCCAAGTGAAGAAGCCTAATATTGTAAAACTGAGATCAACCTAACCGCTTTGCATGAGCTTGTCCCCCTGCGTGGTCATTCCCAGCCAGAGCAACTTTGTGCATGCAGACAGCTGATTTTTTTTTTTTTTTTTTTTTTTTTTTTTTTTTTTTTTTTTTTTACTTCAAATAATCTTGCATCTAAGATGGTTTTTAGTTACAAAGCAAAACAGGTTTTTTTTTTTTTCCTGCCAGCTCAGTAGATCGGCTTTCAACATTTTTACAGGAAAAAAAAGACTGATCATTGTGATTAAATCCTCGGTAACTAGGGGAGGGCTCGGGGAATCGAGATGAAGATACCGAAATGACTGTATCGAGCTGTCACCACCACTTCTTGTGAAACATTAATAACTCTGCCTCACTGGACCGCAGAGAGAAGGCAGGTCCCCTCTGTGTCACTCTCAGGGCTGTATCCACAGCCCCAAGTGTGACTGAGGAGCAGGGCAGGGGCCAGTGAATGCAAGCAGCTTGGTGAATGAGTAAAAATGCCCAGCTCTGTGGGGAGCACCCTGGGGACTGAAGAGACAGGCTGGGACCCTGCTGGCGGTAAGCACTGAGGTCTAATGTGTGTCAGACTCAGGCACCGGGCAGAAACCGTAAATGAGGAAAGCGGGCCATTGTGAGACGGTAAGGAGGAGTGGGCGCCGTGGTGAACGGGATGAACCCACGGCCCATTTTAAGACATTAAAACGATAAATATTAGACCCAGGCCCCAAATATTAGACGCAGGCCCCCAAATAAACAAGGCCTGTGGGCTTATGCAGTCTGTTGGCCACAAGTTTGTGACTCTTGGTTTGTTACATCGGATAACTAATTGACAAAAGTGAGAAAAATTCCACTGTGGCCGCACAGAGCTGCGCTTAAGACCTCAACAATAAAAATCAGATTAGAGGGACGCCTGGGTGGCTCAGTTGGTTAAGCATCTGACTTTGGCTCAGGTCATGATCTCACAGTTTGTGAGTTTGCGCCCCGCATTGGGCTCTCTGCTGTCATCGCAGAGCCCACTTTGGATCCT